CGTTTAAAGCCGCTGTGCAGAAAAACTGACTGCGCACTCTATCTTTGGTTCTAGGCACATTGAAGCCTATTTTGACTATAACAGCATTCACGTCTGTCCGCCTATCTTTCTACCTTGCATGCGTGGTGTGAGCGTGTGCAAGACTTTGTGTCTCACATGGTTTGGCCTTTGTGAGTGTGTGAAATTTCGTTTGAGACGATATCAGAAATGGCTTCTCCGCTCAGGAGCTTTTCAACAAACCAAGGATCGCTTAAATCGGAGCACGAAAGTGAAAGTCACGAACGGTTGAAGTTCGTATGCTTTGTCCATCTAGTTTCTTTTTGTAATTGTTTTGCCCACAGATCTTGGTGGATTAAATTCCTCGTCCGTTGGAAGGACCACATTCTAACAAGAAAAACTCAGTGCCTCTAGGCAACATTGAGAACCACCATGTTCTCCAAGACTACATGCGATGTACAGTCATTGACATAGCAAAGGGCTTCTTAAGGAGGGGAGTAGTGTAAGGATATTTTTGGATTCCTTACCGCGCACCACCACAACACGTATAACACTCTACCATTCTTCGCACAGTACGGTCTTGAAGGTGTCTGGCACTTCGCGCACCACTTTTGCTAAACCACGCATTGCTGGATTTGGTGGATTCGACTTGCCCTTCATTACCGGCCCAAGCCTCGTTGCCAGCATCATACCAACTAGCTCGACTCACCGAGCTACTGTTTGCTTGTTTCGCTACAAATGTTCGTACACGCTGCACGTAATATGTGTGTGTGTGTGTGTGTGTGTGTGTGTGTGTGTGTGTGTGTGTGTGTGTGTGTGTGTGTGTGTGTGTGTGTGTGTGTGTGTGTGTGTGTGTGTGTGTGTGTGTGTGTGTGTGTGTGTGTGTGTGTGTGTGTGTGTGTGTGTGTGTGTGTGTGTGTGTGTGTGTGTGTGTGGTGTGTGTGTGTGTGTGTGTGTGTGTGTGTGTTGTGTGTGTGTGTGTGTGTGTGTGTGTGTGTGTGTGTGTGTGTGTGTGTGTGTGTGTGTGTGTGTGGTGTGTGTGTGTGTGTGTGTGTGTGTGTGTGTGTGTGTGTGTGTGTGTGTGTGTGTGTGTGTGTGTGTGTGTGTGTGTGTGTGTGTGTGTGTGTGTGTGTGTGTGTGTGTGTGTGTGTGTGTGTGTGTGTGTGTGTGTGTGTGTGTGTGTGTGTGTGTGTGTGTGTGTGTGTGTGTGTGTGTGTGTGTGTGTGTGTGTGTGTGTGTGTGTGTGTGTGTGTGTGTGTGTGTGTGTGTGTGTGTGTGTGTGTGTGTGTGTGTGTGTGTGTGTGTGTGTGTGTGTGTGTGTGTTTTTTTTTTTTTTTTCCCTTGCTCACTTCAATTGCACTCGTAACAAATGACCATAAATAGCTGGCTGTTGTCTACATTCATTTTACAAAAATGTATATTTTGTCACCATTTAATATTCCTTAAGCATATATTGGTACTAAAAGTTGCTGTTGTTGTTTGTTTTTTTTTTTTTTGCTTATATGAATTATACACCAGAACACAAGTGTAAAACGCATAAACAGTCGTAACTCTGCATGAGAGACAGGAAGACCCGCCTCAGAATGTTCGATCCTCAGACATGGATCTGAGGCCTGCGAGGTTTGCCCCAAATTGCTGCGAAGCTGCTGGACCACTTCCAACCTTTGCCATCCACCACTCTGATGCGGTTCAGAAGATCACGCTCTTGCACTGTCATTTTTCGCCACCTGTCCTGCTGCCCACTCCCACGCTGCTGCATCCTTGCCGCACAAGCACGCATATAAACGTTCACATGGATGCGGAGGGCCGACTCAATTCTCCGCAAGACCCTTCGCGTGCGGAATTTGCAGCCCCGGAAGGCCCCTTCACACCTTTCCGCCCATAGCTGATGAAGGGCAATCGCAATTAGTGTCGCCTCCGCAAATGCTGACTGGGACTCGGCTTTGCCAAACAGCCAATCACCGAGCGAATCACATTTTTTGCCAGGGTTGATCATCCGTAACGCCTTTTTAACTGCCGAGGTCACCCCTTGAGTTTTCGGGCACTCCAAGAGGCAATGTTCCAGCGTCTCAAAACTCCCACAGTGAGGACAGACTGGTTTGCTGCTGGGGAACTCCAGTCGCTCCCCTACTTGTAAGTTAAGGCAGTGAATCCGCAGCAGAACATCCCTTGGCCGGCTCGGGGTAACTAATGACTCACGAATCTGAACTGCCCGCTTCCAGTCAATGCTCCCGCCCCACCGAGTCGCCCATTTCTCCCGCCTGTTCTGTTCACTATTGCCATGCTTCCAGTGTTTCCTGAGCGACTTCAGCGGAACTGCTTTCCCTTCCGCCAACAGTTTTGCCTGGAGCTATAAGGGGCCCCCTCTCCCAACCTCGTATTCATCTGCAAAGCTCATGTTCGGGAGTACAATCGAGATGAGCTGCTTCCTCCAGGCCTCTGGCGCAGCTGCAAAATCCTTGAGCGCAAGAATTGCTGAGTCTCTCCCCCGCAGCTCCCTCTCTAGGGTTTCAAGGCTTTTCAACACCACTTTCCCGTCCGCATCTCTTTCAACCAGATCACCAAGCCTAACGTCCAGAAGCCGCTTCGCTGCTTTCTGCCCACCCACTGGCATAGCTCCTTTCAAGAGGATATGCCTGTTGAACGCAATTCTCTTCAGCACCAGCTCCTTCGTCTCTCGTTCCTCCGTGGACACCGCTAACGGAGAGCGCATGAAGTTTGCACAAGCCAGTTTCCACCTCTGACTTTTCCCCTCCCAGGTTTTCAACAGCTTCTCGTGCGCCATGAATGTCTCCACCCCCCTTGGCAGGTCAGCTGCTTGGCGCATCAGTTCTCGCTTTAGCTGGTTCCTCTCCGTAAGTACCAGCCCGATCCTTCTAGCCGTTAAGCAGGTAAGCATTGCCTCCGGATTCTTCGCCCCCACTCCACCTTCCAGAACCGGTGTGAACAGAAGCTCTTTGCTCCAGAGGTTGAAGCACTTGTCCGATGTAACCTTGTTAGCTGACATGAAGTTTTGTGTCAACTTTGTGATTACCTTCCAGGTCTGCGCAGGCGGCGGGTACACCTGAGCTTGGGACCACGCGATCGGCAGAATATAACCATCCATCACCGCTGTCCAGGCCTTAATCAGGAGGAATTGCAGCTGCCACAGCGACATCTTTCCGGCAATTTTTTGGAGCGCTTTATCCCACGTCGGCTGGCAGCTCCCGTTCGGCGTGACCCATACCCCCAGCAGTCTTTCTACTTCGTTCTCATCAGCCCATCGAAAACCATCCGTGCGCCATGTCTTCCTTCCCAGGTTAGCACCCAAAGGCATCACCACCGACTTCCCCTTGTTAGTCTCTAAGCCAGAGATGCACCTGAACTCCCCCAATACCTCTTCTGCTCTTTCAATTTGTTGCTTCCCCTGCAGCAGGAGAGTCGTGTCATCAGCATAACCGATGTAAGCCAACCCTTGATCAACGCAGCTGGTGATGGAAATCCATATCCTCCGCTTCATCACCATCTGCGCCAACGGCTCCACCGCACAGAGGAATAGGTAGGGTGCTAAGAAGCAGCCCTGCCTTGCCCCCGAGACCACTTGCACCGCCTCACCCAGCCAACCGTTGACTAACAGACTCGTCCCTGTGTTCGTGTGCAGACCTTTCACCCAGCCAACAAACCGGGCCGGAAAGCCCATTTTCTCCATCACTTCGAAGATGAAGTCTCGAGAAACGGAGTCAAACGCTTTTTTTAAGTCAACAAGCAGCATAAACCAATCCTCCGACCCATTCTTGGCTGCATCAATGATGTCAGAGACCAGCCCCACCGCGTCTGACATTCGCCTTCCCGGGATAAAACCAAACTGTTCCTGTGAGATCACCCTATGAAGCACTTTCTTGATTCTGCTCGCCAGGACCCGCGCCAGTACTTTGTAACTGGTATTTAATAGCGTAATAGGACAGTAGTCATCCAGCTGCTCTTTCGCCCCCTTTTTGTGCAGGAGGATCGTCACCTCGTCCTTCACGCTGGTTGGGAGCGAGGAAGTGAGGGTGAAATCACGAACCAGCCCCATGACATGCTTTCCGAGCGTATCCCAGTGCATGTCGAACAACTCTTTCGGTAAACCATCCTTCCCTGGTGTCTTGTTGCACGCCATTTCCCTCAGCGCTTGTCTGACCTCTTTCTCTGTCCATTCCTCTTGCAGACTTTCCGCATCTGAGAACAGCAACTTTTTCCCGGCCGCTGGACACCAGTCTGAAGCCACCGTTGCTGTTGTTTACTGAGTTGGTTGAATTTTGTGGTTGCCATCTTATACTTGTTTCTTTCCACACCTTATATGAGTCCTCAAGTGTTAGTGCAGTAAATCTAGGTCGGGAGCCTGTATTTTTATTCGAACAATGAGCGCGTACGTTCTGCGCCTATCTGACACCATCGACTGCCTAGATGTTCGCGCGCTCTTTCAAAGTGAAGTGCGCTACGAGCTCCTGTACCCTCCTGACAAATTCTTGGGAATGGTTGGCTGCCTTGGACTAACCCATCCCATCCCATCCCATCGCATCCCATCCTACCGAATCTGATCCTGCGAATTCATTTCCTCGATGATCCCAAAAGGTAACCTCCTCTAGCCCATGAGACGCTCTGATTCAGTCCTCATTCTTCAGACAGTTTCAGAAGGAAGTCTTTTTAATCTCAGGCCTGATCAGTAGCATGCAAGGCACAGGCAAAGAGAGGGAATCGGGTTGGCAGTAAGGTACGCAGAGGCACTCATTATCAAGCCCTTCTAAACTAGCAGTCTGGTTTTGTTCGGTTGTCAAACTGCCACTGAATAAGCTCGAAGCAGTTTCTTTTAAGTCCTCGAAGTCCATGAGTTGCTAAGAGAACGATTGTTGTTCTAAGAGAAAGACGGTCCGCAGAAGCAAAGAGATCGTCTCGCTCCTGTCCTAAACCTCTATTCCCGTCGTCCCTCCAGCATAGCTAAAAATCGTGCCCGATCTCTAAAATCATTACCGAACATCGGCAAGATGTACATCGAGGAGATCGCGATCGAGGGATTCAAGTCGTACGCGCAGAGGACGGTGGTGCGAGACTTCGACTCCAAGTTCAACGCCATAACTGGGCTCAACGGGTCCGGCAAGTCCAACATCCTCGACTCCATCTGCTTCGTGCTCGGCATCACCAACCTGCAGCACGTGCGCGCCAGCAACCTGCAGGAGCTGATCTATAAGCAGGGCCAGGCGGGGGTTACGCGCGCGACGGTTTCGATTGTGTTTAATAACCATGACAAGGCCGGGAGTCCCGTGGGGTACGAGGACCATGACCGCATCACCGTTACCAGACAGGTGAGGGAAATTGTCTGAATACGCTAGTCATGGTTCGCATCTCCTCCGCTAACATTCGTTTCCTTCTGGCGGCGCTGTCTTCTCGTTTGTAATAAGAAATCCTAACTCACGTTCGCTCGGATTAATCTTATCCGGTCTTCCCGCTGTCGTTCAGATCGTGATCGGCGGGCGCAACAAGTATCTGATCAACGGCCACGTGAAGCAGCCGAGCGCCGTGCAGACGCTCTTCCACTCCGTGCAGCTGAACGTGAACAACCCGCACTTCCTCATCATGCAAGGCCGCATCACCAAGGTCCTCAACATGAAACCCCCCGAGATCCTCTCCATGCTGGAGGAGGCCGCCGGCACGCGCATGTACGAGAACAAGAAGGAAAGCGCGTTAAAGACGCTGGAGAAGAAGCAGACGAAGGTGGAGGAGATCAATAAGGTGCTGACCGAGGAGATTCTGCCGCGGTTGGAGGGTTTGCGGCGGGAGCGCGCGCAGTACCAAGCGTGGCTGCAGGGGAACTCGGATATCGACAGGCTGAGCCGGTTCTGTATCGCGTATGAGTATTTTCTTGCGGAAAAGGCGAAGAATTCCGCTGTGGAGGTAGTGGAGAAGATTAGGGAGAGCATTGCGGAGCTAGGGAGAGTGGAGGAGGAGTGTCACGAGGCGATAGTGACGAAGAAAGGGCTTATAAAGGAGATGCTGTTAGAGAAGGACCGGCAGATGGGGGATGCGATGAAGGAGGTGCAGAAGCGCGCAGATAAGATCGCCAAGGAGCTCGTTAAAGTCACATCCGTTTGGAACAACAAGAGCGAGACGTTGGAAGCGGAGAAGAAAGCGCTCGAGCAGGTCAGACGCGACGCTCTTCCCACATGATCGCTCTTGCCCACGATGCCCAGATCGAGCGTGTTTCCCGTGTTCGAGTGGCTTCGGACTTAGTTTCAAAGCCGTCTCATTCAGAAGTCCTGTATGTGCGCACATGTGCGCGCCGTTTGGAGCGATCGACAGCGATTCAGCCGTTTGGAGGTTCGGTGCGAACCTATTTGGATGTTATCACCGCCTTGGATGCTGAATTCCCGCTTGTCTTTCTTCTATTCTATTCTTTCCTCGCAGCTTGTCAAGACGCTGGCTGACATGCGGAAAGGCTCCGAGGAACGAGCGGCTCAGATGCATTCCGCCGACGACGAGCTCGCAGCCGTCCAATCAGAAGCCGACACGAAGGCCAAGGCGCTCGCAGACGCGGAGGAGGAATACGCGGCCGTGCAGGCGGGCAAGACGGGACATCCGGGGGAAGACAAAACGATGGCGCAAAAGCTGTCGGAACTGAAAGCGGCGGCGGTGGAAGCGGCGACGGGGGGAAAGCAGGCGGCGCTGCGCGTGACGCACCTGCGGAAGGAGGTGGCGGAGAAAGGGCGGCTGGTGGCGGGGAAGCGCAAGGCGGCGAGCGGGCTGGAGCAGCGGCTAGCGGGCATGGCGGAAGAGGTTGCGCGATGCGAGGCGGGGCTGCAAAGGCTAGGGCATGATGATCAGCACTACTCGGGTCTTGAGAAGGTGAGCGCGAGTGGTGTCCATGCGATGATTTGGTTTTGGCCACACCGGATTGTACACTAAATTGCGTCTGTTCCAATCCTGCTGGAGAGTACTGAACCGCATCAAGCCCGTCCGTTCCTCCACGTTATACCCGAAAATCCGGAGTCCAAGCGGACTAGAATGTTACTTTCAGTGAAATTACGCTCACCCCTTGACGTGGTTTTGGATTTGCCCTTATGCAATGTCATTACTACGCCCCACCTCGTCCACCAGGCGAAGGTGGAGAAGGAGGCGGCGGTGGGGGAGCTGCGGCAGCGGGTGGAGGCGGCATCGCGCGAGCTGGGCGTGGGGTTCTCATACAGCGACCCCGAGAGGGGCTTCGACCGCCGCAAGGTCAAGGGCGTGCTGGCACGCCTCTTCCGCATGCGCGACGCCTCCATGGCCACGGCGCTCGAGGTGAGCTGCTGCTGGGACGGTGGCGTGGTGGCGTGGTGGCGTGGTGGGATGGTGTCAAGGTGAGGGGCAAGGCGGGCGAGTGCCAGGTGCAAAGTGGGTGTTTCACCCAGGCTTGACTTCCAATTGCCAGTCTCTTCCGCATGCGCCACCACGTGAGGTGAGCTGCTGGGATGGTGAGGTGCAAGGTAGGTTATTATCAGGCGCAAGGTAAGTGGGGTCCACACTGTGGAGGGCTTGGGCCTCGACCGCCGTGCCTCTTCGGCATGGTAGTGCTCGCAATGTGTGCTTGCTCTTCGTAGTGAATCGTGTGGTTTCATTTGGTACTGTACGATGTCAGGGCACTGCACGCAAACACGCTGAATCTTGAGTTCGTTTTAAATGTACCTGTTTCCCTTCCTATGTCCTCGCCTCTCACAGGTGGTGGCGGGCGGCAGGCTGCAGAACGTGGTGGTGGACTCGGAGCACACAGGCAAGCAGCTGCTAAGCCACTCTGGTCTGACTGTGGTGTGCCCCTCGCCCTATTTTTTTCCCATCTTTCCCGTTCACCCCCTCACAGGTTGTGGCGGGCAGCAGGCTGCACAACGTGGTGGTGGACTCGGAGCAAACGGGCAAGCAGCTGCTGAGCCACGGCCGCCTGCAGCGCCGGGTGACGCTCATCCCTCTCAACAAGATCGACAGCCGCTGCATTTCCCAGGCCAAGCTCAGCCGCGCCATCCAGCTGGTGAGCTGCTAGGTGGTGTGCTCGTGCATGTTTGTTGAGCACGCGCTCGACAGGTTGACATCTCTTTCCTGATGAATCTGTTTCTGCTCGCGCAGATAGTGCAAGTCTTTCTCAGTTGACATTAGTCTCTCTATGCGGAGATATTGTAATTTCTCCAGTAACAACCGTTCCTCTCTACACCGCTCTCTCACCTCACGTTTTGCAGGTGGGCAAGGAGAACGTGTGGACTGCGCTCTCTGCGGTCGACTTTGACCCTGAGCTCCAGGTACGAGGCCGTAGCAGGCGTTTCATTTCAGTATTGGAAATGTCATCCTTGTTCGAAGGTGGTGGTGGGATGACCCCCATCTGTGAAACCTGCAACGGTGTGTGGTGCTCGGCCTAGGGTCTGACGGTTGGTTCCGCCTGTTGTGGTGCCCCCCTTGTTTTTCCTCCAGCCTGCCATGGCCTTCGCGTTTGGCAACACCTTCATCTGCCGCGACTCTGCCACAGCCAAGAAGGTGTGCGATTCTTCCGCTTTATTGAATTCTTAAGTGTGACTCCTCACACAGATGCTCGGTCCCCGCTTTCCAGCTTCATGCGGTTACTTGTCAGCCTTCAACCAGTTCCTTACGACTAACCAGTTGGCCATGTTCTAAATCTCATGGTGCCACTTGTATCCGCCGCTTATATATCTTTCTTGAATGTTTGCCTCCCCTCCCCTCGACCCCTTCTTGCGCTGCCCCGTGCCCACCACCCGATCATCACGTGACAGGTGGCGTTCCACCCGGACATCATGACGCCCTGTGTGACTCTGGATGGAGACAGCTACAACCCGGGCGGGCTGCTCACTGGAGGGTCGCGCAGGTGAGAGGCAGGGAGGGTGAGGTGGTGAAAGCGAGAAGCAGGATGATAAGAAGGGAGAGGTGATGTGGTGCAGGCACCAAACACGTCGCTCCAATTCATACATCTGTGGTCGCTGCGTGGTCGCCACCTGTACAGTCCATAAGGCATCCTTCACCTTCACTTCCACTCAACTGCTGGTTCTCTTTTGCCCCTGCTGCTCGTTCCACAGGGGGGGAGGCGTGCTGCTCTCACGCCTGCACGCGGTGAAGGAGGACGAGGAGCAGCTGGCTGCACTGGAGGCTCAGCTGCAGCACGTGCTGGCTGAGGTGTGTGGCTTGAGTCACGTCACATGCACTTTCTTGCATCTTGAAGTCCATCCCCACTCATCGCACTCGGGCACACGAAAGCACACCTCTTTCCTTCCTTGTTGCCCTGCGAACGGTGCTTCTCTTTAGCAAACGCCGTTGCTCGTGTGTCTCCCTGTGTTGCTTCTCCCTCGCCAGCTGAGCGCCCTGCAGCAGCAGCGGCAGCAGTATGTGGAGCTGTCGCAGCAGCTGCAGCTGAAGGCGCACCAGCTGTCCCTGGCGCAGGAGCAGATGAAGCAGAGCGAACACCACCAGGTGAGGATGGGGATGGTGGGAGAGAATGCATGATGGCGTGGCTGTACCTGATGCAATCACCTCCCAATGACGTGGCTGTGTCTGATGTCATCTCCTTGTGTTGCTCCTTGCCTTTCGTGTACAGCTGGCAGAGGAGCTAGCAGCCCTCGAGGCTGAGCTGGCGGAGTGTGAAGCCACGTCAGCGGAGGCAGCCGGGAAGGAGAAGGGGCTACTGGACGAGGCAGCAGCGTTGGAGAGGGAGATGGAGCAGCAGGGGCGCGAGAGAGGGCAAAGGCTGAAAGCCCTGGAGGCCAAGGCGAAGGCGGCCAAGCAGCAGGCAGCTGCTGCAAGCAAGGCCCTCAAGGTGGGTGAGCGTATTACTCTACGCTGGTGGTCCCTTTGAGCTTCTGCTGTCAAAGAGCTGAGCTTGTTTTCCCGAATTGGAAACGCCCTTCCCTGCAGGCGAAGCAAAACGAGAGGGAGCAGTTGGCGATAGCAGTGGAGACGTCGAGGGGCGAGGAGGCAGCAGCGCAGGAGCAGATCAGTGCAGCAGAGGCGGAGGTGGGACGGCTGCAGCACGAGGTGGACGAAGCTGCAAGGAAGGTGGCGAACGTAAAGGAGGAGTTGGATGCGGTGCAAGGGGATGTGGAGAGGCGGCAGAACGAGCTGCGGGCGTGCGATGAGAGAATGGCGGGCGTGGAGAGGGAGGTTGGGGAGATGGAGGAGAGGAAGATGAATGCTGGCATGGAGAAACGGAAACTGGAGCACCAGGTGTGGCTACTTTGCAGGATTGCGATTTGTGGGGGATGTTGCTTGCTGAGGCATCTGCTTATGCCAGCTGTTGACGGTTGGGTTTGAACAAGGGAAGACGCGCAGGACGAGTGAGCAGAGCCAGAGAGAAGGTGGAGCAGAGGGGCGAAGCCTGTGTTTGCATTTTGCTGTGTGAGGAGCAGTTGAAGGTGACGACTGAGACGTCCCAAACGAGGCCTATCGGAACATCCAATATTGATCCGCATGCCTTGCTTGCGGGCTTGTGATTTTTACGTTTTCCCCGTGGGGCGAGCAGGTGAAGACGCGGGAGGCGGAGCAGCAGAGGGGCGTGAAGGACGTGGAGCGCATGGAGCGGCAGCACGCATGGATCGCCACGGAGCGCGCGCTGTTTGGGCGGCCAAGCTGACCCTCTGATGATGATCGATATGGCTTGTTTGTGTTGTCTGTTCCCCTGTGCCGTGGGCCAAGCAGGTGAAGACAAGGGAGGCGGAGCAGCAGAGGGGCGTGAAGGACGTGGAGCGCATGGAGCGGCAGCACGCGTGGATCGCCACGGAGCGCGCGCTGTTTGGGCGGCCCGGCACGGACTATGACTTCCACTCGCGCGACCCGGTCGCTGCCCGGCAGCTGCTGGCAGAGAAGCAGGCCCAACAGAGCAGGTGCGTGGTAGGGGATTAGGGGAAAGAGGAGAGCAGGTGGTGGTAGCGTATCAGGTGTGTGGGGGGCGTGTGGGCACGGACTATGACTTCCACTCGCGCGATCCCGTGGCTGCCCGGCAGCTGCTGGCGGAGAAGCAGGCCCAACAGAGCAGGTGCGAGACATCAAAAGGGGAAGGCGGGTGAGGGACGGCTGGGTTGTGTGAGACGCTGGTGGGCCAGTGTAGGAAGCTTTTGAGGTTTGTTGTACATGTGCACTCACCACCACCCTCCCCGACCCCTCCCTACGTGCGTGTGTGTCGTGTGCTCTCTGCCCGTCCGCCCTGGTCCTTGTGTGTGCACGTGCAGTGTGGAGAAGCGCATAAACAAGAAGGTGATCGCCATGTTTGACAAGACGGAGCTGGAGTACAAGGACCTCAACGCCAAGAAGGACATCGTTCTCGTGAGTAGTGCCTGCCTTACCGCACGTGGCTGCTGTGAGCTGTGTGGTCTGTGGTTTGGTTTGAGGCACAAGGTGAAGCGAGACAGAGCAGGAGTACAAGGACCTCAACGCCAAGAAGGACATCGTGCTCGTGAGTGCCGTGTCCCTCCCATCGCATGTGTCTACTGTGTGAGCTTGGTGGCTTGTGGTTTGGAGCACATGTGAAAGCGAGTGAGAGCAGGAGTACAAGGACCTCAACGCCAAGAAGGACATCGTGCTCGTGAGTGCTGTGTCCCTCCCATCGCATGTGCCTACTGTGTGAGCTTGGTGGCTTGTGGTTTGGAGCACATGTGAAAGCGAGTGAGAGCAGGAGTACAAGGACCTCAACGCCAAGAAGGACATCGTGCTCGTGAGTGCTGTGTCCCTCCCATCGCATGTGCCTACTGTGTGAGCTTGGTGGCTTGTGGTTTGGAGCACATGTGAAAGCGAGTGAGAGCAGGAGTACAAGGACCTCAACGCCAAGAAGGACATCGTGCTCGTGAGTAGTGCCTGCCTCACACCCCTGTCACTGCTTCTTCTGCTGCTGGGAGCTGTGTTGCTTGTGGTTTTGAGGCTCTCCGAAGTGAGGGAAAGGCAGGGCACAAGGACCTGCAGGCGGACGAAGAATGAGACTGTTTAAGCAAGCTGCCTCTGTCTGCTTTCCTGAGAACCTACTCACTGCTACCCGGCCACGCGCTCCACCGTTTCCCGCTAATGGCGTAACTCTCATGTTCATTTATTTACGTTTCTTGTACTAGTCGATATTGATTATTGTAGAGTGTTGATTCAGTATCGTTCTCTCTGTGTGCTCCTGTATCTCTGCACCCTCCGTGTGTGCATGTGTGTGCATGCAGAGGGACAAGGCGAAGATAGAGGAGGCGATAGAGCAGCTGGACGAGAAGAAGAAGCAGCAGCTGAAAGTCACGTGGGAGAAAGTCACCAAGTAAGTTAACCTGACAGCCAGTTCACCATCCACCATCCACCATCCACCATCCACCATCCACCATCCACCATCCACCATCCACCATCCACCATCCACCATCCACCATCCACCATCCACCACCACCTGCCATCCACCATCCACCACCCTCTCATGCCACCGTCATCTCATGTCCCTGCCAACCACACCTGACTCTTCCCACCACTTCTCATGTTTCCCCACAGGGACCTGGGATGGTATCCACATTCCTCAGACTCCTTCCAGACCCCACCGCGACTTGGCTGGATCGATCAACCACTGGGCCAGGAGTCCATGTCTACCCTCCACTGCACTGCAGCCCCTGCACTGATTGATCCTTTCCACCTCGCCCGTCCTCTCTCCCCCCATCTTCCCCCCCAGGGACTTCAGCCCATTCTCCACACTACTTTCCTCATCTCCGTTCTGACCACCAACCTCTTCACAACCCCCTCTGCAGGGATTTCGGGTCGATATTCTCCACACTCCTCCCCGGCACCACGGCCAAGCTGGACCCCCCCGAGGGGCAGGACTTCCTGGCGGGGTTGGAGGTGCGGGTGGCGTTCGGCGGCGTGTGGAAGCACTCGCTCTCCGAGCTCTCCGGCGGCCAGCGCTCCCTGCTCGCCCTCTCCCTCATCCTCGCCCTGCTGCTCTTCAAACCCGCGCCACTCTACATCCTGGACGAGGTGAGCGAGTGAGGCCTCGCCACAACTTGGGATGCGATGAGAGAGTGAGCCATCTGCAAAACATGGGGTGCGGTGATATGAGGTGGTTGGAATTGTGGATGCTGCGTGCTTGTGACTTCCTGAACTCGCTCGACTGGCTGTCATCACCGCATGTTGCTCTGTGTCTTCCCTGGGCAGGTGGATGCAGCACTGGATCTCAACCACACGCAGAACATCGGCCACATGATCAAACAGCACTTCCCGCACTCCCAGGTACATGCATCGCGCATGGCCACATGTCTTCTTTTGCACGTCGCGTCTCTGGCTCTCAATATACACTTCAGCCCCATATGGTCATAGAATCACATCCATGGAATCACATATTCCACTATGCCTCCACACCGTCCCTCTGGCCCCACCACCTCCCTCCACACGCATTTCTCCCCTCCCCTTCCTCCAGTTCATAGTGGTGTCGCTCAAGGAGGGCATGTTCAACAACGCAAATGTCATTTTCCGCACCAAGTTCATCGACGGCGTGTCAACTGTCACGCGCACCGTGCCGTCCCTCCCCTCCTCCTCCTCCGCTGCTGCCGGGCTAAGCAGAGCTGCTCCCGGTGCTGCCAATGGGGGCAGGTCCAGGGGTGCTGCTGCCAGTGTGGCACGGGAGAAGAGCGCAGGAGGGTCGATGAGGTGAGCTGAGTGTGTGGGCTTGGGTAGGCTTGAGTGGGTATGCTTGAGCATGCATGTTTGGTCCAACCCGTCCCCACCCAATTCTCTTCTGCTGGTTTCAGCCGAGCTGCTCCCAGCACCCTTGGGGGTAAACCCATGCTCTTGTCCGTGCGTGCTCTCAGACGGCGGATTGCGAGGTTGACAAAAGCTGTTTAGGTCTTGCAAAATCTCTGCTTGCGCTCCCTTTCTGTGCATGCCTGTATGGCTGGCCGTGTGCTGACATGCATGAATGTGTGGCTGTGCACATGTCATGTGGTGGGCTGATGCAGGTCAAGGCAAGAGGACACTGAGAACATTGAGCCAAGTGAAGTCTTCTAGAGTCTTTTGTCTCTGCCCAAACATGCAGGTGATTCCAAAGCAGGGTTTATGATGCATTTGTATATTGTTGGATACATGGTTGTAGTGGTTTAGGTAATGCACCTGTAGCCATCTCGGCTTCACGCTTGAACCCGTTGTGGTGTTCATAGGTTTAGGTACAAATGTGAATGATACGGAGGTACATGTTTCGAATCTTGTAGCCAGTGCAGAACCAGCTGGCTGCAGGCACGACAGCATGGCGAGGAAGCACAAGAGGCAGAATCCCTGGGCAAAAGTGCGGTGCAGTGCAGTCTCCACTTTGGTTACCTAAATTGATCATACATACAGTATGTGTTAGTAGTAATAGATTAAACAGTTCCAAACACTCAAAGACGGCTTGGGACTTCAACAAATATTCACCAATAGCAGAGTGGCACTTGCTGAACATCTCTGGTTTACCTGCCATCGAAGCTATCCATGGCAACAGAAGCTAAGCCAAACCCTAAACCAGATTTGGCGCGGTCAGTCAGAATCGCCACACGCCTCGTTGCAGGCGTTTGGATGCGTGCTGTGGCTTGAGATCGCAGGACGAAATCATCATAGACCACTATGGTGCCTGGGAGGCAAACGGGCTGCTGGCCTGCTGGCCGAAGCTAGAAGCCAGCACACAAGCTACTCCTGTGCTGCCTAACCCGTATCCATGCTTGTAGGGGTGTATGCTTGTAAGGGTGTATGCTTGTAGGGGTGTATTCATGCTTGTAGCTTGCACCAGCATGACTGTGCTGCCACCAGGAGCAATGAATCCACCGTTGCGGTGGTTAGGAGGGAAAGGGGCTGTGGTCATGCAGGCCAAATTGAAGGGCACGAGGCATTCATGGGAGCATGATCAGTAGCCCGTGCGTTGAGTGCTACTGCTTATGGTGTCACACCACTGAAGCCAGCACACACCAGCGCTAAGGCGTCTGTGAGGCAACAGGATGATGGCTTGGAGGGCAGACTAGACGCAGCTGCAGAAGCCAAACCAGGGTGGCTCGAGGCACTTACGCGCGTGCGTGGTGCGCGGTATACTGTACAATGCAGCTTGCACCATCAGGCAGATAGATCTTTCTGGAGGTTGGGAGGTCAAGAGGGCGGCGTCCTGCCGGCCGAACTGGAAGCCGGCACACAAGCCAATCTCGGATGGCTTGAGGCATCTACGTGCGGGGAGTGCTGTACAGCGTAGCGTGTGCCTCCTGGCAAGGCAGTTATTGTGGTGGTTGGGAGGCCAAGGGGGTGAGGTCCTGCAGGCCGAACTGGAAGCCGGCACAGACGCCAAACCCCGCCGGCCGCTCCCACCCGTGTGCCAGCCTGCTGAGATTGAAGTCCCAGCCGCACCCCGACTGGTGGCAGGGAGAAGGGGGAAGAGGGGGGCGGATGGGAGGTGTGTGTGGGGGAAGGGATTGGAAGTGAGGAAACGCATGGCAGGACCCTCCCAAGGCAACACACACCCATGGTAACACACACCCATGGTAACACACACCCATGGTAACACACACCCATGGTAACACACACCCATGGTAACACACACCCATGGTAACACACACCCATGGTAACACACACCCATGGTAACACACACCCATGGTAACACACACCCATGGTAACACACACCCATGGTAACACACACCCATGGCAACACACACCCATGGTAACAAACACCCATGGTAACACACACCCATGGTAACACACACCCATCACAACACACACCCATGGCAACACACACCCATGGCAACACACACCCATGCCAGCACACACCCATGAGAATGAAAGGCGCAGCACCCACCCATTGATCCACTCACCCATTTCACGTTGCCGCCGCCGGTGTCGCACGGTTCACACGGCACGAGCTCGCACACAGGCCCAGGCGAGGTGCGCCAGTCCACATGGCGCATGTTGACCACTGTGATGGCCATGGAGTAGGCCTCTATGCCCGCCAGCCCTGCTGCCACGCGGCCGAATGACGAGAGGTGGGTGATGAGCAGGCGGTCGCTGTGAGGGAGCAGAGGGAGCAGTGGGGGGAAGAAGGGGGGGGGGGGGGGGGGAGAGTGTGAGGAGGAAGGGGGGGGGGTTGGGGTAGGGGAGTGACGAGGACAGATGTTGAGTCGACTCAAAGGCCTGCCCACTTAGCGCATGTTGACCACTGTAATGGCCATGGAGAAGGCTTTTATTCCTGCCAGCCCCGCTGCCATGCGGCCGAACGAGGAGAGGTGCGTTATGAGCAGGCGGTCGCTGGGAGGGAGCAGTTGCGGGGGTTTATGGGAGTGAGGAGGAGAGGTGGTGAGTCGACTCAAGGCCAGTGCACTTGGCGCAGTTCACGACTGTGATGGCCATGGAGAAGGCTTCCATGCCGGTCAGCCCTGCTGCTGTGCGGCCGACTGATGGCAGGAGGGTTATGAGCAGGCAGCCGCTGAGGCGGGGGCAGCAGGGGCAGTGGGGGCAGGGGAAGAGTGGGGCCACGGGGAGTTAGGGGAGTGATGGGGACAGGTGCGTGATGGGGAGGCGGCAGCTGAGGTGGGGGCAGGGGGGGATGGGGGAGTGATGAGGAGAGAGGTGCGTTATGAGCATCAAGACTCCTATTACTGACAAACAGAGCACAGTGTTATTCAAGGGCACGTCTCACCAGAAGCTGAGCAGGCAGATTTCAATGACAGTGGCAATGAATTGACATTTGAGTCGACCGAAAAGTCAAGCCAAAACAAAAAAAGACAAGACAGTCAGAGGCCCGTCTCACCAGAAGCTGAGGAGCCAGATTTCAATGACAGTGGCAACAAGGTGCTGCTCCTTCCGGTTCTCCACCTCCTCACTCGTCAGCCTGCCATGCCATGGGATGGACCCGTGTGGGTAGAGGAGAACGGCTTTGAAATTATACTGCTATATTTGTGAACGACGACGAACCCAATCCCCCCAGTTCCCCCAATCTTCCCAATTCCCCCAATCCGCCCAAGGCTATAAGGTTGACTTCTTGGGGTGAGGTGGGTGGGTGAGTGGTGTGGGTGGGGTGGTTGGGAAGAATAATCCAGGTTGTCATGCTGACAGTACCTAGAGCCTAGATGAATGCACGGCCCAAAATAGATGGGATGGGGAATGTGCACTCACGACCAGAAGGCAATGAGTGTGTTGCCGATGGGCATGTGGTGTGTGTAGTGCGCCTCACACATGGTTTGTTTCTTATTCTACAGATCAGCTATACTCAAGGACCAGCTAGGAGGGCAGGGAAGATTGCGACTCACGACCAGAAGGCAACGAGGGTGTTGCCGATGGGCATGTGGTGCGTGTAGTGTGCCTGCAGCTCCAGCATGTGTTTCATTGTTAGGGACGACACGAACACGCCCATCGTTGTGTGCGGCACGTGTGACGGCGCCTTACTGCTGGACTCGAGAAGAGCCTGGATGATAACAGCGGGAGACAAGAAGGAAGGGGAGGATGGCATGCAAGAGCTGAGTTTGCAAGAAGAACGCGCAGCAGGCTCGTTGCCGGGGATTCTAGCACGTGCTTCATGGTGCTCGAACGCACACCAGAGTAGAGGCCACATGCAAGAAACGAGCTTGTGAGTGAAAACGAGCGGGCGAAAGGGAGGTTAGCTATGGTGTCTGGTTCCAGAAGGGTGCGAATGGACGACTACTGAATGAGCGGAAGGAGGTGCTTGTTATTCCAAATCGAAGTTTGTATGGTGGTTACGACCCTCAACATCATCACGTGTGCGTATGGCCGTGTGTGAGGTACTTAGTAAGAGGCAGCAGCCTAAGATTCCGCTGTGATGCTGCTGCCCTCGCTCTCTGCACGCTGTGTGTGAGTTATTTAGTGAGAGGTAGCAGCCCAAGACTAAAGGATGCGTGCAGAGAGAGAGGGCAACAGCATCACAGTGAAGGCTATAGCACTCCCAGCTTCAGCACTCTCTCCCCTGTGAGTACGGCTGAGTGTAAGGCAGGTAGTGTGCAACACAGCAGCCTCGCACTGGAGGATGCAAAGGTAGCAGCCTCAGCACCACCACGTTGCATGCATGGTGAGAAGTGGCACCATACGGGCCATAGTAGCTGTCACGCTCACCTGTGAGTACGGCTGGGTGTAAGGCAGGTAGTGCGACACAGCAGCCCCGCACTGGAGGATGCGCGCAGAGAGGGGCAGGTGAATGCCGTCAGGTGAACGGATCTGGCTCAAGGGGCGTGACCGTGGGTGACAACAGGTACAGGCGGAAACGCAAGGCAGGTGAAATGGAAGGCGCAGCAGAGGCTCTTCAGAAGGATGCCATCAGGTGAGCAGATCTGGCACAAGGGGGGTAAGAGAGACCGACAGAGACAGAACCGCAAGGTTGGCATGGATGGAAGGGGTAGCAGGGCTTCTTGCTCTGCCATCAGGCACGTGGAGGGTGAGGTGAGGCACATACGTTTGGATTGAAGCAGACACCGGGAGAGAGTCACAAGATAGGTGAAATGGAAGAAGTTGCAAGAGTTCTTGTTCAAGAGGGGCAGGCGCGCGTCACCACCAGGCGCGCGTCACCACCAGGCGGGCGGGTCAGAGTCAGGTGCAAGCAATAACCGTTCGCTGCCACCTCTTTCCACGAGGCAGTCTGAGAAACGGGCAAGGTTGGCATGGAAGGTGAAGCAGTACCCGCCTGTCATGTCATCTGGACGAGGAGGCTTGCGCCAAGAAGCCTCACGCCCCACATCAACTCAAGTCAGCATTACAACCCCCTAGCCCCCCTCCTCACCTCTTCACCTGCAGGCTGAGCGGTGGGAGAAGTGGGTCAGGCTGGCATGGCAGGTGAAGCAGTGTCCAAGTGTGAGTCATTTAGAGGAGGGGAACAGTACCAGCTGCCTCACACCCCACCTCACGTGAAAGCAAATAAGCCGTACACATTGCGTTCCACCCTCACCTGCATGCCGAGGCGGTGGGAGAAGTGCGCAAGGTTGGCATGAAAGGCGGTGGTGATCTGCGCCCACAGCTCGTTGCCTGGATGCATCAAGTGAGCGGCACTTGTTGACCTGAGTCAAACATCACGTGTAGCAAAGCAGCCCCACGCCCCATCCCACCTGAACGCAACTTAGCCCTACACCCGCCCTTCCCCTCCTCCCTTCCCTCCCCCCCTCCCTCTTCCTCACCTGCAGGCCGAGGCGGTGTGAGAAGTGCGCCAGGTTGGCATGGAAGGCAGTGGTGATCTGCGCCCACAGCTCGTTGTCGGGGTGCATCAGCAGGCGAGCCGCATGGGTGAAGGCACGGCCATCGGGAAACAACTCATGTAGACGGTCCTGGGATGAGGGCCGGGTGGGGTTGTTTTGATTAGGGAGTGGTGGAAGGCAAGGTTGTAGCGATCTGTGCCCACAGCTCGTTGTCGGGGTGCATCAGCAGGCGAGCCGCATGGGTGAAGGCACGGCCATCGGGAAACAACTCATGTAGACGGTCCTGGGATGAGGGCCGGGTGGGGTTGTTTTGATTAGGGAGTGGTGGAAGGCAAGGTTGTAGCGATCTGTGCCCACAGCTCGTTGTCGGGGTGCATCAGCAGGCGCGCCGCATGGGTGAACACACGGCCATCGGGGAACAACTCACGCAGTCGGTCCTGGGATGGGGAGTGGTGGAGGGAGGTGGTTGCATGGACACACGAGTTATGTGTGCCTGAGGGGTGAGGTGTATGGGTGAACACATGACCGTTGGGAACGAACAATTCACGTAGATGGTTGGATGGGCCTGTGATGGGTGGGTGTTGAATCGGGATGGTTGCACGGGTATACGCGTTATGGGTGCACGAGGAAGCGTGGTCAACTAGCGTAGTCGGCCCTATGACCAGGGAGTTATGGGGAATTGATAGGTTGTTGATGGATGGGATGATGGATGGTTAAGAGGTGCAGCAGAGCATGAGGAAGGGAGCCGCATGGGTGCTGCATGGTTGAAAACAATAATTCTGGGAATCAATTGACAGGTCGCATGAGACATTGGCCTACCCACGTTACCAAACCACTACCACAGGTGAGACGCTTCAGTCTTGTTGGCTTTGCATTGGCACCACCTGGCGGAAACCCACAGAAGACAAGAGGCTGCACGAGAGCAGCAGTACATTCCGTGCTCACAGCGAACTCTGGAATGTAGTGCAGGCTGGGGATGCCGTAAGAATCGATGCCCGCCAGCCAGAAGGGCGCCACAGCAGCAGTGCTCCACAGGTCGCTGCAGAACATGTTCCACGTCCTGGCGGTTGGGCAGTAAGTGTGGGGAGGATGAGGTGGTTAAACGAAAGGGTATGCAACAGCTGTGGAGTGCATAGCAGTTGTGGCACTGGTGCTCCACAGGTCGCTGCAGAACATGTTCCACGTCCTGGCGGTTGGAGTGGAGAACAGAGGGAGACAAGGTAATTCATCTATTGGATATGCAAACAGCGTGCACAGCAGCTTCCCGGGGCCGAGCAGCCTGCATGACAGCAGCAGTGCTCCAGCGGTCGGGGCACAACATGTTCCACGTCCTGATGAGGGGCAGCGCGGGGGAAAGGGGTGTTAACAATGGGTACACAGGGGAGAGCGAACGCCAAGGCCCTCCCAGAAGGGCGCGGCAAAGCTCCACAGGTCGCTGCAGAGCAGACCATGTTCCACGTCCTGGCGGTTCGAAAGGCAGGGTGAGCATGGCGAAAAAGGGTGAGGTTATTCAACAGCTGGGTGCACGGCAGTGGCACAGCAGCCTTCCAGTGAGTCGCAGCTAGCAATGCAGCGGCAGCGGTGCACAGGTCGCTGCGAGCCGCCACACCACACTCTTCACTGCGCGCCTTGACTTGCCAGCAAGCACCTAGCAGTGTTGCAGTGCTCTCTTCCATTCCATCCCACCATGCTGCCCCACCACGCTCCACAGTGGTGCACAGGAAAGCAGCACGCTCCACCGTGTCAAAACCCACGACTCACTTGCGATACAGGTCCATCCACACGGCGCCTTTGTTGACCACCTGCCATGGCAGGTCCGTGCGCGCCCCTCCTTGCGTCGCCTTCAGCTGCAACGCCATACTGGTGAGCAGCAGCCGTGGCTTCTGGAACACAGTGGCCAAAATCAAGCTGCCATGCAATGGGAGGCGCAGTGAGAAGAAAGTAGCGTTCGAGTGGAGCGAGCGAGAATGTGCAAGCAAGGCAGAGAGTTGAGTGGAGCAATCCAACGGTTATTGAGTGACAGTTATGGGAGGGAGCGATTTGAGGGGTGAGGGTGAGATTTCTGTACCTCTGTGAGGGTGGTATGGAGGGACGTACTCATAAGCATGTGAGTCAACAGTCCAAGAGGTGTTGGCGTGGGCGAAGGGGTTGCAGAAGCGGCGAGTGAGGAAGGCAGTCGGCGGTGTGATGATGGCTCGATGGGTGAGAAGACCCAAGATGAACGCCGTGACGTATGCCGTGACCTTGTTTCCCACGCCTGCCAAATGGGAGTGAGGGTGATACTGTAGACTGTACATGAAGTGAGAACGGAATGCCTTGCTGAAGCTCCCACTGGTGTGAGGGGCTTGCTTTCAAGGGCGTTATTGAGGCGCCTCAAAAGGCGAGAGTGCACACTGGCCGTGTAACTCACACATGGCACATTCCCCATGCCTGTTCATTGCACCATTCAGCAAATTCTGAGGAGAATAAAAAATCCTGCTTCACCATTCAGCGACTGAGTGTGGCGGGGCAGCTTGTCCGTGGCATTGCATGCCTTGACACAAGGAAGGTTTGTACTAACCTCACCTCGTTCCATCTCCTCGTTTAAAGACCTCACCTCGTTTCAGCTCCTCTCCTCGTTTCATCTCCTCGCCTCATTTCATCTCCTCACCTCGTTTCATCTCCCCGCCTCGTTTCATCTCCTCACCTCGTTTCATCTCCCCGCCTCGTTTCATCTCCTCGCATCGTATCATCTCCTCGCCTCGTTTCATCTCCTCACCTCGTTTCATGTCGTCTATTACAATGTAGCGGCATGGCTCCCTGTCAGGCCCATGACGTGGCAGGTGATTGCTCCTAGCACACAACAAACAAGACAAGGCATGTGCAGAAAACAAGTGCAGTGAACACCGTGCTTGCCATAACACAGCTCTCTTACAGTTGGGAGTGTGGAATGGAGGGTGCAATAATCGTCACGTCACGCCCTACAAATATCCCTGACCCGACCTTTCCCATCCCGAGCCTACCATTTTCCTTTGTTGCCCACCCACGCCCACTGCTCTGTGCCATGCGCCACGCACTCCCTCTGCATTGCCTCGAAGGCGCCCACTGCGCTCAAGAATGCGTTGGAGGGCGGGGCGGTGTTGGCCTGCCCGCACAGGTGAGAGCAGGAGACGGGCGTGAGAGCAGGAGACGGGCGTGAGAGCAGGAGACGGGCGTGAGAGCAGGTGACACCACAGCATACAGAATTGCAGAAGCATTGCAACTTGTGGCTTCATATTGCGTGCTACAGATACCTGTCAGGCGCCATACCGTGTGGTAGGGATACCCTCTCACGCCATACCTTGTGCTACACCATACCGTGTGCTACAGATACCCTCTCACACCATACCTTGTGCTACATATACCTTCTCACACCATACCGTGTGCTACATATACCTTCTCACGCCATACCGTGTGTTACAGTTACCCTCTCACGCCATACCGTGTGTTACAGTTACCTTCTCACGACATACCGGTGGGCTACTACAGACACCTCTCTCACCATACCGTGTGGTACAGGTGTCGCTCCTGCTGGCTCCAGCACGAGTCAGCCGTGCGGTACAGCGTGTGGCGCCACGCTGCAGATACATCGAATCTGGACGGCGGATCCGGCAGCTCAAACCCGCGTCCCATGTTACTCCCGCCACCGCCCCCCTTGCTTTCGAGTACCCTTTCCACCCTTTCGCTGCCTGCTCCTCCGGTCATCGCTCCCTCGCTCCCTGCGCTGCTTATCCCTGCGTCGTCGCTGCTCAGACCCTCGCCGCTGCGTGCCTGGCCGCTGGGGACAGTCGCGACGAGAGCTAATGCCAAAATGAGTGCCGCGCAGTGGCACCGTTTCCGCCGGTCGAGCTCCAGCGTACCCATGCGTACTCGTGATGATCCGACGCGCAATCGCATCGCTGTGCTAAACGCACCCTAAACTCATTTAAAGTGAACCTCTCCTATGTTTGACCTGAATCACATGTCAAGTGTTACTGCTAGTAGTAGAAGCATCGGTTTGACATCAAACGATTGTACTGTAATCGTAGGCGTAGTAGTAAATCGTAATGCTTCGCCAGCAGAGATCACATCGGAGTCGCGCTTTCAGCATCCGACGTCACATTCTCTATATAGTACGTCCCGACGTCGACCTAATTTGAACACGGTCTGACGAAAATTGCAATGAGACCACGATTTCAAATAAACTACTAAATATTGCAATGGCGACAAGGAACGGACTCGACAAAGTCATAGCAACCGTTGATTCGGAATCTAGATGCTGCCAATGGTGGATGGGGGGACTGGATGGAGCTGCCCTGACGAAACGCGGCTGCTGTGTGTTTCTTCCGCAATAAAATGGGCGCGGACTCGCGATCCCAGTGCGTTCAGATCACGCTGCTACACGGCTGTCTTACGCAAATAACGCGGAATACACGAACTCATGGTATTTCAGATTGATACAAATCCAAAAATCCTGCAAACAGGATCCCCATTAGTTACAGTAATTTTCTGTCACACAACACCAAGTATTCAGCATCCCACGAAACGCCGTTGATTGACTAAGCCTAGTATTAAACAATGGAATACATATCTGGGGAATACATGTATACTAAAACTAGAGGGGAAATATTAAAAGGGGCTCTCTCTAACCATGAAATACATCTAGAACTGGCTGGGTTAGGGGTTTTGCATGGACTAGAGTTTGTTTGAAGATTTAACTGAATCCAATCATACCCTTCATGGCTGGTGATCTACATGCAGGCTGGATGACCTTTGGCATCGACATTCCTCCCGAGACCACTATTTCTGCACAGCGCACCACAGCACAGCAGAATAAAAAATATAAAAACAAGTAACTGCTGACACAGTGGTACCTGCGCTAACAGTGGAAGCCGCTTCATAGAGCTGCTGCAAACTTGTAAATGGATAGTATCATGCGCAAAAAGAAAGAAGACCAAACCGAACCAAACAAGAACAAAAACAGCAACGGAAGTAAAACAAAGAAAGCCGAGCTGTAGCAAGCCATGGTATGAGAAGGCTTACCGAGGCCTTCTCGCACGGAGAGGTTGGGGCGGATGATGTCAGACTCGGGCACGAGGAAGGTGTCTCCGATGTACACGTGGTTGGTCGGCACATACACACTCACCAGCTCCTCCTGCACTCCCGACTCCAGCTGTTGAGAGGTAGGGGAACTCGGGAGCGCATTGAGTCAAAAGAAGAGCAAGAAAAGCCAAGCGAAGGATGGACGCGGAAAAAGGCTCTTTTGCACTGAGTGGCACGAGAAGCCTCGTATTTATGAGTAGTAACCGCATGAAAAAGAGTGCGGGCACCTGAGGGTTGAGTGAGAAAGAGTGTGGGCACCTGAGGGTTGAGTGAGAAAGGGTGTGGGCACCTGACGGTTGAGTGAGGAGTGTGGGCACCTGAGGGGTGAGTGAGAAAGAGTGGGCACCTGAGGGGTGAGTGAGAAAAAGTGTGGGCACCTGAGGGGTGAGAGGTAGTGAAAGTGTGTGCCCATTTTCCCTCTCTGTCAATCTACTATAGTGCTGTGCTCCCTTCATAATCAATAAAAGGACGGATTAGATAGTGGGCACCTGGAGAGAGACGTTGGAGGTGATGAAGCCGAAGGCATACTCGCCTATGCGCTTTCAGACGCCTCAGAACTACATTATTGTTACCTAAGAGGTGCTGAGAGGTGGGGGCATGGGAACCAGGAGGGTGAGTGTGAGTGTGGGCACCTGGAGGGTGACGTTGGAGGTGATGAAGCCGAAGGCATACTCGCCTATGCGCGGATGGCGCAGGATGGCCACCTCCTTGAACGCGTTCACGTTCTGATCTGCAGGGGCGGAGATGAGATGAGATGTGGGGGGTGCAGAGAGGTGCATATGTGTGGATGAGAGAGGAGAGACACGGACGGCGCAGGATGGCAACTTCCTTGAACGCATTCACGTTCTGATCTGCAGGGGCGGAAATGAGATGAGATGTGAGGGGTGCAGAGAGGTTCATATGTGTGGACGAGAGAGGAGGGACGTGTGGCGCAGGATGGCCACCTCCTTGAACGCATTCACGTTCTGGTCTGCAGTGGCAGGCAGAGCAGCACACAGGGGACCACAGGAGCGTGGAGGAGTGAAGAATGGCTCGGGTACACGAGGAGACTGGAGGGACCTGGTGCTCAAGGCAAGGCGGTGGCATTTGAGGGTTGCTTTATGAGCGGCATTGATGGGCCACGCACGACACACACAGCCACTCAACTCACTACGCATTCCCACCCACCCACCCACCCACCCGGCAAGATGGCGTTGCTGATCTGCTTGGAGGCGGAGTAGATGTGCTTCATGAGAGGCATTGATGGGCCATGCATGAGACACACACCCACCCACCCACCCACCCACCTGGCGAGATGGCGTTGCTGATCTGCTTGGAGGCGGAGTAGATGTGCTTCATGAGCGGCATGCGCTTGATGATCCACTCGCCTATCCACAGCACCGACGACCCCACCCATGAGGACACGAACACCCCCACGAAGAAGATGAACGAGATGGTCGTTATGAAGCCAAGGCCTGTGAGGTGGGTGACGGAAGAAGGGGAAGGGTATTGGTTTCATGCGACACAGCACAGACAGCACCGACGAGCCCACCCACGACGACACGAACACACCCACGAAGAAGATGAACGAGATGGTCGTTATGAAGCCGAGGCCTGTGAGGGGAGTGATGGAAAAAGGGGGAGTGGGGATTTCTTTCATGCGACACAGCACAACAGCACCGACGACCCCACCCATGAGGACACGAACACGCCCACGAAGAAGATGAACGAGATGGTCGTTATGAAGCCGAGGCCTGTGAGGGGAGTGATGGAAAAAGGGGAGTGGGGATTTCCTTCGTGAGACACAGCACTCACAGCACCGACGACCCCACCCAGGATGACACGAACACGCCCACGAAGAAGATGAAGGAGATGGTCGTGATGAAGCCCAGGCCTGTGGGCAGGTGACGGAAGAGGGAAGGGCATTGGTTTCATGCGACACAGCACAGACAGCACCGACGACCCCACCCAGGATGACACGAACAGACCCACGAAAAAGATGAACGAGATGGTCGTGATGAACCCGAGACCTGTGGGAGAAGTGATGGAAAAAGGGGAGTGGGGATTTCCTTCGTGAGACACAGCACCCACAGCATTGACGACCCCACCCAGGAGGACACGAACACGCCCACGAAGAAGATGAACGAGATGGTCGTTATGAAGCCCAGGCCTGCCAGGCAAGTAAAGGAGAGGGAGCATGGGCACAAGACACAGCATCGACGACCCCACCCAGGATGACACGAACACGCCCACGAAGAAGATGAACCTGAGGCCTGTGAAGGAAAGAGGGATGGGAATTTGCGTCACAAGACACACACCGAAATCACACTACTCCAACGATGATGACAGAAACGCACCCACGAAGATGAACGAGATGGTAGTTATGAACCCGACCCGAGGCCTGTCGGGTAGGTGATGGAGAGGGGTATCGGGTGGATGGTGGGTTGAAATCGGGTGCGAATGGAACGGGAGGGGCACAAACACGCCCACAAAGACGGTTGAGCAGATGGTGGTAATGAAGCCCAGGCCTGTGAATGAGGGTGGCGGGAGGAGGGGAGGGGAAGGATGTGATGAAGCTGGGTCAGAATGGAAAGGGAGGGAGGCAAACACGCCCACGAAGACAGGTAAGAAGATTGTGGTTATGAAGCCCAGG